GTGGGCTCAGTCCCGTGGGTGGTGGTGTACCAGGCGTGCGGCTTCCGCGCGCGACTCTGATCGTCGCCGAGAAGGTGACGGAGCAGGTGGACGGCTCGCTGCGCGACGCGCTCCACGTGTTCGACGCCGCCGTCATCGCCGGTGACGACGTGCGCAGGTTGCCGTACTCCGAGAGGCGCCGCAGGCTCGGCTTGCTCGTCGAGGCGCTCGACCGCGACCCTGACGTGCTCCGCCAGTCAGTGGGCGGCGGCGGGGGCGGCGGGTGGGTCGACGAGGCCGCCGACGCGGCGGTGAAGCAGAACATGCCCATCCGGCTCAAGCAGGCGTACCGCCTCTCCGAGCAGGAGTACCGCCTCTTGATTATTAATTAAGTACTGATCTCTTCATTGTGAATTGAGCAGGCGTACCGCCTCTCCGAGCTGCCGCGCGCGCTCGATGAGGCCGAGGCGCGCGCCTCGTCGGGCGTGCGCGGGACGCGGTGGCCGTTCTGCGGCGCGCTGCTCTTCCCCGGCCACGCCGTGCCGTCGACGCAGCCGCCGGGGCCCGGCTGGGACCGGCACCGCTGCCGCTCGCGGACGACGGGGCAGGAGTACTAGGAACCGTCTAGGAACCGTCTAGGAACCTTCTTCTAGGCACCGCTCGCGGACGACGGGGCAGGAGTACTACGCGAGCGCGAGCCACCCCGGCCAGTCGATCCCGATCGTGCGCAAGCCAATCTCCTTCCGCGGCTGCCTGCAAGCGCTCGTCCGCTGGGACGCGCGCCGCGGGGACGTGCCGCTGGCCAAGCTGCGGCAGTTTGGGAAGGAGGTGGCGGCGATGGCGGGCGGCTCGACCGCGAGGTGACGCCGCGCGGCGCTTTCGCGCGCGCCACGGGCGCCATGCAAGGACAGCGCGAAGGCGTGTTTTGCCACCGGCAAGAATTTGCAGAGAAAAATGAAACACCGGTGGGCATGGCCATCCTTGTGCGCCCTGGGCCCCCTGCTCGCGCCTCGGGGTTTTGCAGCAAAGTGCCGCCACTCTGCCATTCACTCCACGCACATTAACGCGAGAGCCCCAGCTGCCAGCACCCGAGGCGCGGCTCTGGGGGCGCGCGCCCCGAGCGTGCCGGCTCCATATTCAAAGTCCGATGAGCGATGATGAAGCGCAAAAACGCTCCCTCCCCTGGAGTTTGTGCTGGAGGAAGGACATCGCGACGACAGTGATTGTGTTTGTGAAGAATCTTACAACAAAGTTTGTGAAGAATATGCGTAGTTTTAGTACTTTTACAGTCGACCCTTCCACCGTGATCCGTGTGGGCCGCCCCCGGACCGTAAGGTATAAGGTAAGGTAAACTTCTCCACACACACGAGGTGGTGGGGCAAGGGGGGGCGACCCTCGCGTCTCCACGTCTAACGACAGGAGCCCTACGGCATTCAAAGTGCAAGGCCCAGTGCGCGTGGGTGAGCGGTGTGTGTGTGTGTGTGTGTGTGTGTGTGTGTGGGCAGTGCGGCATGCACGGCAGGCAGGGCACGCAGGTGTCGCACCCGGCCCACCCGCACTTCTCCTCAATCGGATGGGTCCGGTAGGGGCAGTACGTCTTGCACTCGGCGAGGGCCGTTGGGAGGTAGACGGCGAGGAGACTGAGAGCCCGGAGCGGCGACATGTGTGCGAAGGTCAGGACTCGGGCTGCTATCCAACCACACGCTTGCGAATGCTTGGTGAACCGTAAAAGTTTGTTGAACTTTGCATATGATCTCTGCCGCTCTTTCCCGTTAAATAGTGCGTGGGGCGACAAACACTACCTTTCGGGCTACCTTTCCAAATGCATATCGGAAATGGATTCTCTTAAATAGTGCGTGAGGCGACAAACACTACCGCGCGTCCCGCGCGCGGGCTACCTTTCCAAATGCATATCGGAAATGGATTCTCTTAAATAGTGCGTGAGGCGACAAACACTACCGCGCGTCCCGCGCGCGGGCTACCTTTCGAAAATACTGGCCGTTTTCAAACAAAAGAAGGCAGCCCGAAAACGCATTACGAAGGGTCGTATGGGAGGACGGCACGCCTTCTCCTCAGCGATCGACGCGGGGGATCGGTTTTCTTGATTCTTGTGCGAGGGAGTTTTGTAGAATTTCAGTTAGTTGCGTCGCGTTC